CCTCGTGCGTTTGCGGCGCCTCCCCCGCCCCTGCGCCTTCGCACCGCAAATCGCGCAGCGTGTGCGTTGGGGCCACGCCGCCTCGCTCCCCGCGCAACGGCGGCAGCAGCGTCGTCGCGGCGAAAGCACCGTCGCCCGCCGCAAAGGCGGAGGCGCGCGGCGGGGCGTCCGCCCCCCCAGCGGCGTCGCACAACAGGGCGGAAGTCGCAAACCCCACCAGAACGTCCTTCTGGGTGTTCGCAAAGAGCGTGCGCCGCCGAAAGAGACGCAGAGCCGCGAGGTGCGGGTCGTCAATGAGCCGTGTCGACAGCACCGCCGCGGCATCCGTGAGGAGGAGCTCGCGCAGCGACGGGGCACACACCGCGGCGAGCATCCGGGTCCCCCAGTAGACGGTGGGGCTCAGACACTGAGACACTCCACAGTGCGGCGTCGCGATGGTGATAAAATTTGCAAACGTGACGTTTAGCTCCACGAGCTTCGCACGCACGCGCCGCACCTCTGCGAAGACGCCGTCCTCAAACTCCGGCCCTCCCGCGGCGGCAAGCAGAAGGTACAAAAATTCCCGAACGATGATCCCCCCGAAGGAGTGACCCACAACAGAAACGCAGGCGGGGCAACTGCCATCCGCCGCCGCCGCCCGCAGCCAGGCGCCAAAGACGGGCAAAAACTCTGCCAGAGTCCGGCGAGCGCAGCTGCAGGTGCTCCGGTGAGTGCCCACCAGCCGGCTGCTGCCGGGGACAAAGCACGTGAGGCGGCGCCGTGCAAAGAGGCAACCGCCGTCCCTATTCGTCGTGGCTGTCGGCTCCGGCGGTGGCGCGGCCGCCGCCGCATGCGTGCCGTCGTACCGTCGCTCTTCCTCCTCGAAAACGCGGCGGACGAGGGCGGTGAAGTCCGCCGCGGTCCCCCAAATGCCGTGCTGCAAAAGCACAAAGTGGTGGCAGTCCTCCTGGGCGACGGCAGACATGTGTGTCACGCGGCGAAACAAACGCGTCGCAGGGCCTGTTGCACCGGACCCAAGCAGCGCCAAAGGAGGAACGGGGAAGAAGCAGCAATACACATACACACTAGAGAAAAGGAAGGAAGGAATGAAAAAGTAAAGAAGAAGCGGAAAGAAAAATATATATATATATATGTTCTCCGCAGCCTCAGTGCTAGAAGCGTGCAGACGCAAGAAAGAGGCGCGTCCCGTCAAGTCCGCATTGCAGCCAATAGCAACAAGAAAAAAAAAGCAATAACAACAACTTACCATATCGTATTTTTAATCGTGTCTTCTGCAAGTTATGTTAGGAGCCGAGGGGAAGCTCAGCAATTAGAAACACACACACACACATCCGTTCACGCAAAGAGTCCCCACAACGTCGAGCCTCGTCGTCGATGAGAAGTACAGACAGACTACTGCGGACGCCACGGCACACGGGTCTTGCAGACGGAGCACATTCCCTCCCGCACAGCCTCCATCCCCCACGACGCAGCCGCCGGAGGCGGAACGGGGACAACGTAGCCGCGTACAGCGCACGCATTGCAGAGGCGAACGCCCGGTGCCGCGGTGGTCGCCCCACGGCAGCGCTCGCACTCGCAAAAAAAGCGGTAGGAGGAGAGAAGCAGGCGGCGGCGCTCCGCCGTAGAGGTCTCCTGAACATCAACGTAGCAAATGGTGAGCGGCTCCCCTCGCTGTATCCTGCGAAGCGCATAAAATGCTGCAAGGCGGCCACGGTGCGTGACGCGGCAGATATTTGGGCTGCAGCTGTGGTTGAAGTAGGAGGCCTCTGGGTAGAGGGCGACGCCGAGGCAGCTGCCGTCAGCGTCAAAGAGGCCAAAGCTGTTGCACTTCACTGCGGCACACAGGCGATCAAAGAAGGCGGCCGTGACAGTCAGCCCGGCCTCCCCACCCGCATCCGCCTCCAGCCAAGGAAGAAAAAATTTGGTAAAGCGGCGGTAGCTGCGATGAAACATGCGGCGCGACTCCTTGCACATGACGGAAAGGTTTGTAACCAACCGGGCGGCATCCACCCATCGTGGCTCTCGGACGGCGTGCGTCGCCTCGTGCTTGCCGCACGGGGAGAGCGCCATGTGTCCCCGATGGGCGACGTACAGGTGTGAGGCCGACTCTGTGGAATGCGTGCCTGTCTTCTCCTCAAGGGCTTTGGGGTCCACGACCTCCACCGCACCGCCGCACTGCAGGCGTGCGAGGCGAATTACTTCCACCTCGCACGGTGCTGCAGAGTCCCTGGCAATCGACATCGTTGCGGCTGGAAGCTGCACCTCGGCGGCGGCAGTCGTCGTAGTAGTAGCACCGACGCGTTGCCCTGTGTTTTCTGCGCTTGGGGGTGGGACAGTTTGACCCGTGGCAACGCAATAGGCTTCGCCTCCCGCTTCTCCGCCCTTGTCGTGTGCCTCCTCCGCCATGCGGCCGGCAAACCCCTCCTTTGCACAGCGTGCCACTAGCAGGGCAAACAAGAGCAGTGACTGCATCTCCCACGCGTCGTCGTCGCTGGTTCGCCGGGGCCAATGCTTTGGGCTCCAGGAGTCAGCGGAAAATCGCCTTCTCCCGGCTGCCTTGGACTGGTTTCCGCCGCCCACACAAAACGCCTTGGCGAGTGCGGGGTACACGCTGCGCAGCGTCCGACACACGCCCGAGGTTCGGTGCAACTCGTGGTGCTCCTCCCAACATGCCCTTGAGCAGTAGACAAGCACGCCACACCCGGCACATCCACAGAAGCCTTGGCTCAGCACCTCCGCGGGAAGGCTGGCGCTCCCTTCCACCACACGCTCTGGCCACGCCGCCGCCGCCGCCTCTGCACACTCCACCTGCATCGCCTTTAGATGGCAGTCGAGCATTTCCGACTCCCGCCGCTGCGCGGCGGCTTCTGACAACTTCTGCTTCAGCGCCATGTACCCCTTGGAGCGCATCCGCGCCGACCTGGTAGGCTTCTGCAGTTTTCTCTGTTGTTTACCCCCATCGCCGTCGTCACTGCCCTCCCCCAGCTCCTTGTCAGGGTCGACGTTCGCGGCCTTTGCCTGGGCGGCGTCATCCTCTTCCTTCAGCCAGCGCTCCTCCTCACGCCTGGCGTGCTCCGCGGCGATGTTCCCCGAGACCCACCGGATGGTCTCGTAGTTGAGGAAGAAGCTGCCCCCGGCGATGCTCCGCAGGCAGCTGCAGCAGCGTGTGGAGTAGGGGGAGACAGGCACGTACCCGCTCGGCATGGAGGCGGGCAGGGGCCCGTTTTTCTTCCTCCGCCTTACCATCGCGGTGCCCACCGGGCGCGTGCACGCGGACGCCTCCACCCAGTCCTCCGCCTTTTCCGCGATGTGCATCGCGCTGGGCGCTTCATTGGGGTTCGTCGCCACGGCGTAGGGGGCGGCGAGCAGGAGAAGCTCGCCGGGGCTTATGTCGGCCTTCGCGACCGCGTAGCGCCCGGCGTCGGCGGCCGGGTCGGAGGGGTGCACACACGCCACCAGCCGGTCCTGCGGGGCGCGCAGCATGACGGTGGCGCCCGGGTTTCAGTGAGTGGTCCCGCAGCCCTACGAGGAACAGGAGGAAGCGCGCAGGACGAGAGTGGTGTAGAGTGGCGAAAAAGTCCCTACGCATGCGGCACATAAACAAGCGGCAAAAGGGTGAAGGGGACAACAAACACACACACACACAAAAAAAAAAATACATGCACGCAGACGCAGGCGCAGATACAAAGGTGGCAAGCGGGAGAATGGGCAGACGCATGTGCCGCAGCGCCACACCCGCCCCCAAAGACAAAAAAAAAAGGGGGTCGTGTGTCGCTTGTCTCCCCAGGCGTCAAGCCACACCTCCTTCATGCTCTTTTCCCCTCTCGCCGTGGATACCACCCTCAAGGGCCAGACGCTTCTCCCAATTCCTTTCACGGTACGCCTTCACATGCGCTGGAAGCTCCTCGGTTCCCTCAAGCCTATAGGCGTGTAACTTGCTACGCGGTGAAGTATCCAGCTGTCTAATCATGTTCAACACATACTGTGGATCACCCTGCCACAGGAACCGGCCCGTATGGTAGTAGTAGCCAGCAAAGGACCCAAAGAGAAGCGCAGGAATTGTCAAAAAGCCGGCTACTTTAATGTGGTGACGACGAAACTCCTCAGGGTGGTAGCGGTGCTCTCTGTGAATTCGCTCACTCATGTTATCTCTATCACCCTTCGTCATGGCGTCGGCACTCCATGAGTCGCGCAGCTGCTGCATCCCCCCACGGAGCCCTCCTCTTGACCTTGATGTCAGGCAACGGTTTCCGACTCGTCTTGTACTTGACGGAGGGCCCACTACTACCCGTGCGTTGCTCGGGCCCCTTCGTGCGAGGTCCGTGTGAGGCCGCGGTGCGGCCGTCAGCAGCGCTCAGCTCGCGTCCCGGCGGCGCCGGCGACACCGCGAGAGACGCACCCGAAGGTGCGGCGCCGCTGGAAAAATGAGAAGCTGCTCGTGGCTGCCCGCCCGGCGTCGGCGGCTGCCCGCCGGTGGAGCAAAACGCCGAAGCCGTACGTCGAGAGCGATGGCCCTGCAACAGTCCCGGCAAGCCGTGAGAAAAACGCCGCATCGCCGCTGCCCGCGACGCTCTCCGCTGTGCCCCGGCCCCCGCCACACGCCCCGCCGCGGCGCAGGGTACTATACAACCGATCTCCTTCGCCTTTGTTTCCGAGGGAGAGGAAGCAGGCGGTGTCGTGCAGAGTTGCCGCAGAGGAAAAAACAAAAAACAAAACGTCAAGGGGCCTCTCTCTCTCTCTCTCCCGCCGTGTCAGTCGCTGTTGGCCAGGGCCGACGGCAGCGACTGACACGGCGCACGAAAGCCGGGCCATCGC